AAAATGCACACTCGTTAATAGAAGTTACAAATTCACATTTTTTAATGAACTTTAGACAAACCCTCGATCCTTAAACTTGTATGTTCTTATGTTTTCAACATCACAGAGAAGCGAAGAGAAGTCGAAATTATGTAACAGACTGTAGTGCTAGTACTAGATTGATCTTGTTATGTATATATTTGTGTATTCAAGTTAACCTTTGTACCTAACCCAGTGGGTATGTTTGTACAATAAAGGTCTTCATTCATTCATTCATTATCTATGCAGGGAGAATTGTAGGCGTGGCTAGGCTTTGAGAATTCAAGATACAACCACTTGGCCCGATGTAACGCTGATAAACATTGATATCTTAAAATAAAGTCATGTATGTTTGAACATGACATTATGTATTGACAAATAGGCGTATGGGAACTTTTCAGACATTTTTGAGTATCTGAGGCATGATTTTGACAAAACCTTCTGTCCGTCTGAAGTTGCAAATCATGATAATGCCGGATGTAATAAATCATTTCAGGAAACGTTAATTCATCCAGCGAAAGAAATCCTGTGTGCGACAGAACAAGTATCGACTCTAGCGAAATTACAACAAAAATCGAGGTTTGGATGAAAATTCATATCATTTTGGGTACATAGAGCCTTAACACGGCTTACTGATCAGTAGTGCTCCCCAGGTGCTTATTAAATAAAAGTCGCCAGAAGGGTAAGAAGTGACAAGATAAATGACATTGTGACATTCTCGGCCTATTTTTAACCAGCGACTCTAACTAACCGTTTATGTGTAATTATCTGTGCTATAAGACAAGTGACCTGTACTAACCCTCCCCCGGCTTTACCTGAGTCACCATTAAAGACAAAGACAGACTGTCATTACTGCATTCTTGTTATCTTACAACCAATCTATAATAAATTATATTACTCTAAGATATTTCTGCCTCTTTTCCCATACTTTTTCCACGCATCTCAAAACGCTACAAAAGTTGTTGAGGAAACGGTCGGGCCGATACAACCAAATTTACCAGCCCTTCTCTTCTTAACTCATTGTTAAAATGGTTCACGCTGGAGTGTGTCTGACTTGTCTGGCAGACTTTCAGGTCAGCCTTGAAACACAGCGGGGTTACTGTAGATTCCTTCATTATTGCAGGGCCTTAATTTCTGCAGTAAAGGGGGGGGGGATGTTTCCATGGTGTTACAAGTTCACAATTAAACACCTCCATAATAGTAATCCAGGGGAAGCGCATATTCGTTGTGTCATAAGTTGGCAATGGACGGCATGCCTATAAAAACTGTGGAAATATAGCCACTGCGAACATAACAATATTTACAGTATTTACAAACCAATCTCCAGACATATATACACGTCAACACGAAAATGTTTCCCATATTTTCAAATTTTATTGAAGATCTCACCGCAGCTGGGCAAAGTAGATCTAGAAAGTCTTTATACCATGCAAAGTCAACACGTGCAACTAAAGTTTGATGTGGCATAATCCATGCATAAACTAAAAAAAATTGATAAGATCTAAACACGGATAAGGCGACGAAAGTTTGCAGGTTGTGTACTAAAGTTTGCAGGAACTCATGGGCTTTGTTTATAGTTTGAACGACAGCGAAAATTGCAGATTTTGCGAAGTGATGGCATCCATGTCACTG